TAATATAATTCCTATCCCACTAAATCACTAATGTTCTATTTTCGTATGACAACGTTCTTGCAAGTAGGTGTATGCAATAAATCTTTCTTTTTTTATTTATTTATAGTGGATGAGAACCTCGAGCAGGAGATTTTTATCCAACCCAATCATACACTACGTGTAGTTGGAACAGCCATAGGTAAGTGTTGTAATCTGCAGTGCGTGTGATTTCTTTCGTTTCATTTTTACCTCCCATTTCAGTTTAATCTTCCTTTCTTCTGTCTTTTCAATATTCTCCTTCGCTTACCCTCCACTTCCCTTTTCATTTTGAACAACCATTTCATTTTCTCTCTAAGTCACGGCATGGAAAATTAAAATGACGCCGGTTGAAATTTTAAGCTTGTTGGGCTTTGCGGAGGGAGGAAAACAGGAGAACCCGCAGAAAACCCGCAGAAAACCCCAAAAATGTGAACGTTGCAACTCTTCTTTCTCCCATATCTCGTCAATAGTTCCTTTCAATACTTATGATATACAGGAAGCCCAAGCCCAGCCAGTGGCAATGGCTGCATTTGGTATTTATCTTGCCTTTTGCTCGATTTTTAACAGACATTGATTTCACGGTTCGAGTTATGGATGTCCCTAATCACTACCTGAGCCACGTGGAAAAAGCCATCGTGGAAGGATTTATAAGTGAAAAGTCTAAAGAAGCCAAGGATTTGAGGAACAGGATGGCAAAGGTAATTCTGACGAAATAGCGTGATAATATTTTACTCCACTCCACTCCACTCCACTCCACTCCACTCCACTCCACTCCATTCTACACCACACCACTTTACTCCACACACACCACACCACACACGCACACCACACCACAGTACACCAAACACATTACACAAAACCACAATACACCCAACCACACTACGCCACATCAAACCACGACACATTCACATCACACCATCAAACCACTAACATTAAACCATAGCACATCACGCAACACCACATTACATCACACTACATTACCCCACTCATCTCACCACACCACACTACACCACACACCACATCACACCACATCACACCACACCACACCACACCACACCACACCACC